GCTTACCTTCAGACTACAGTTCAAGCGTATTTCCAGCAGACCCATTCAGTAAAAGGCTCACTGAACGAAACTCAACATAATAATGCATACGTCATGCGAACACAGAGCTTAACTTCCGCACGAGTAAGAAATGTACGTATATGTTTTTATGTGTGTTTGTATATGTTTTTTTAAGCAAATCAATCATCCAGAAATAGATCAACTCGTCGTAGTCGCCAGTGCCATCGACGTTGTCCTCGTTCTTGTGGACACGTTCAGGTCTGTTGCGTCGCTGTCGTCATTTGGGGCTACTGTTTGAATTTGGCCATTGTTTTTATTGTACTTCCTATCGCGCTCGTACTTTGCATCTGTGCGCCACGCTAAGCCAACGAAACGTGGCAACAACAAAAAAACAAAAAAACAAAACAAAACAAAACGCGAAAACAACAACCAGAGCTTTTCACTACGGGCGGTCACCGTGTCTTGTCCAGTGACAAGGATATTAGTACGCTGAGCGTCCTAGAGGCCCGAGTCGCGCACTTTAAAGCCTGCGCTTGACAGTTGCCTTCGCCCTCAACCACGGGAATGTGTCAATTTGGCATAATAGCCCTGTCAATAGCTAGATAGCACATTGCCCATGTTCGTAATTGCATTTAAATTTAATGAAAAACAAACCACAAAAGTGCCAATCTCCAGCACATTTTCAATTAAATTATCCATTTGCAATTGTAGAGAATGAGTTAATGGCAGCTTAGATATGTTAATGGAAGCAAGTCTTAAAAAAGTACGCGACTTCTATACTAAATTTGGCTCAGTAGAAATAAAAGTTTAAATTATTTATAAATAAACAAAAATAGTGATTGAAATCCAATTATCTCTTCTTTTTGCTATGTTTTTCTCTACCGATTGATTGATGACGCACAAACGAGCGAGTTATACAGAATTTAGGTAACTAAAGTCAGTCGATGTGCCGTGATAGATGCTGGTTTGCGATTCGATATTTTATTTTTGTTGACCTTTAAATGTTGGACTTTTTGAAGTGTGTCTGAAAGTGAAGAGAATTTCCTTCATAATTGCAATAAATAAAATAAAATAAAAAAGGTAAAGCAATGGATTTCTTTTTAAATACTAGTAAGACTATATTTTGCCCTGTTTGATATTGTATCATTTTCAAACTCTGAACCCATTAAAAATGGGAATTCTGAATTTAATGCTTTTGCAAAAGTGTGTTTGAGATTTTACTGTGAATTTTAAGTAATTGCGTGATAATTTCATGGTAATTGTGAATATCAAAATGTGGGAAAACACTTTGACTGCCTTGCTGTGAAGAAAACAATAAAATAAAAGTAAGCTAATATTAAGCAAATATATAATCAAGCCACTGTGTAGACGCCTAGATACTTGTTCACTGTCGCTAGACGCTATATAAATAGACGGGCGCTCAGTCTGCAAGGAAGTAAGCATTTTATAGCATACAATTGAGCGCTAATCTAAAACTATGCTCGGCCCAAAATAGTAATCATCATAATAAAAGTGGGTAAAAGTTTCTTGGTTTCGTGTCGGCAAATTGAACCCAGTCGCAGGTGCTGCCGTAAACAACAACAACAATCCCAATAACAGCAGCGCCTATGGCAGGGACGACGTCAAAGGCGACGACAACGAGGACGTCATTGCCCCCATGCCGTAGCTTTGTCGCGCCGACTTTGCTCATTTTCATTCATTCACAAAAATTCGCCAATGCTATTAATCACCCAGCCCCTCATTTAACCTATATTTAGGGTATATAGTATATATAGGATATATATATATATATATATAACAATAAAATCAAGAGCAGTTGTGAATCAACAGTGCGTCACCAAAGCGAGCTCACAGCAGTCGCTATTGATTGCCTTCACGTGGCGATACTTAAGTTTACTTCACTGCCCCAATCCACATTTCCCCTTCTTTGAGTTCTATTTTTTTTTTTTTTTTTTTTTTTTTTTTTTTTCTTTTTTTTTTTTTTTTTTTTTTTTTTTTTTTTTTCACTATTTTTCTTGTATTCTAAATATCTGTAGACACGTCTGTAGCTTTTTGGTCGTAAATATTTTGAGGCACTTGCTCCAACGGTGTTACGTCAATGAGTTTTAGTAGTTAGCAATTAGGCAAATATGGCAATTAATACGTTGCTTAAAAGGATCTGTTTTATTCCTTAAGAGAATTTTTTGTGTGTGGGCAAGCATAACCAAAAAGAGTATCACTAGATAAATTAACATTAGCCCGCAATTATAAAATAAAGGTGCTAATGTTATCCGCTGGCTATAGCCCACAGAAACCTTTATAATGCAAAACGTATTTAGGCAATGATGAAAGGCTAATTGCTGTCCTTAATTTCACTGACTTGGGAAAAAAGAGTCAGGTTTGTTTCTTGGTTAACTTGTCTATTTTCCTTTAAGAGCAGAATATATTTAATTGTTTTAGCAAAAGGCAAATCCTCATTCCACAAGTGAGCAGCGTAATGTGGATATGGATTTTTTCCACTTGCCTTAACATACAGACTTCCGCTTTACTCTGACCTTGAGCAACGGAGATGCCTTTCTCCTCGCACGCATAGTTGGAAATAGTTTGTCGAAACATCTTGCTCCACACTTTACAACTCGTATGCGTACAAGCTTTGTAAATAGTTGAAATACTCACACTGACTTCATTTTCTCTCTCGCTCTCTCTCTATATATTACAGCCCAGCCATGTCCGACACGTCCAAGTCGAATAACAACGCAGCCAGCTCGGCGAGCGCTGATGGGGATGCCGGCAATGTCACACCAACGACGACACTACCACGCAGCAACCATAATAACAATAATAGCAGCAAATTAAAGTCAACGCAGAACAGCAGCGGCGGTGGAAGCATAGACAAACTGTCACCGGATCAGGATATTTATATAAACGCCGCCGACGGTCTGCCCAGTCAGCACCCGACGTTGCCGCCTGAAGCAGACGTGGACACCGATACAGAGCCGGAGGTGGATCCCGATTCGTTTGATGATCTGCCCACGTCGATCATCGTGACCAACATACACTCGGAGGTGTTTGCTAATCCCGAGCTTAAGCACGCCATGGAGGAACTGTTCCGTACCTTCAGCGAGTCGGCCACTTTCCAGTGGCTGCGCAGCTTTCGCCGGCTGCGGGTGAACTATGACAATGCCGTCGCAGCGGCCAATGCGCGCATTAAACTGCACCAATACGAGTTTAACAAAAAGACAGTGATCACCTGCTACTTTGCTCAGCCGGTGACACCTGTTAACAACAAGAATCTACAGCCACCGGCGCCGGTCAAACAGTTCCTTATCTCTCCGCCCGCCTCACCACCAGCCGGCTGGGAGCCGCGCGAGGAAGGTGAGCCGTTGGTAAACCACGATCTGCTCGCTGCATTGGCCAGCTTGACGCCCGGCGAATCCCACGAGCTGCACCCACAGAGTGAGGATCAGCCAGCAATTATTGTGCACACCGCTGTGCTGCCCGAGACCGGCAGCGTAGGCACTGCACTCCAGCCCAAAGCACCGATTGTACAAACCAAATGTCCGGAGCGCGCATAAGCGCCAAACTAAGAGCTTAAAACGGAATGTTTGGCGGCATATGCAAGAGCCAGAGCCAGCGCCAGCGTACCACAACCAATACTGAGCATCTATAGAGAACGAATGAGGACTATGGCAAGCCAGATGACTGGACATTTGGCCATTGAGAATGGGCAGCAGTGTGGGCAGCCTGGCGGTTGAGAGAATTTGTTGTAAATAATTTCTTAAAACAAAATTCGATTGTGATTAATTTACACGTAGCTATGTTTTATATTAAGTACTTGTACTCTCACGTTTGGAGCGTTTCAAGTTTCGGTTTCCCGTTTCCTTATGATTTGCCTCGAGCGTTGCCGTCGAGCATTTACAAACATTAGCTTATCTTAATGTACGCCAAGTGGAGCTGTTAACTCCAATTGATTCTAGATGTGTTTGTTGTTTGCATACGAAATCGCGTTGTCTCTCTCTTGGTGTCTGTTTCTATTTGTATCGATGTGGCTATCCACAATATCTAAATGTACCTTCATGCTAAAAAAGAAATATGTATAACAAAATATGTTTGCAAGTAGCTGCAAAAAATGAACTTTTGCACTCAAGATGACGAAGAAATCGCAAACGGAAATTCGGATATGAATCTATATATCTGTGTATATGTAAATGTTAATCTAATTGTAAGCCACAGAGAACTCGGATATCTATATCTGATATTGAAATACGTATATATGTATACACATTAGCTACAATTCAAAAACAAGTAAATGAAAAATGAAGTTATATTCAAATTCAAAATGAATGTTCTCAATTGTACCTAGTAACCAAATCAAAAACCATTTTAAACAAAAAACAATACAAAGTCCTTTAATTGACGTGAGAAAATGTGAAATATTTGCAATGCGGTCGCCATATTTTTGCCACTTTTGCAGCAATTCGTGAATCCCATCCCAGGCTTTCGTACATGTACTCCTTGTGCGTTTTCTATTGTCCCGAAATGGTTCTGAAGACGGCGACAACCAAATAATTTAATCACACTGAGATATGATTTCTAATTGTTAGTCATTTTAACATAAAACCAAAGAAAAATCGAGTAGGTTCCTTTAAATGTGTGCCCAAAATATAGAATTTACAAATAGCCGTATTTTTAAAAGGATGCAGTACTCCCAGATATTTAATTATAATTATATTTTAGCTGAGAACTGATATACCTGTAACAATACTAACGCATACTTTTAAGCTTGATCCGAATGTCGTTATGGTTAATGAATTTGCTAACCTGGCATTTTCGATCAAATCCCTGTCTGAGAGCTATATTTCTCATGGAATACATTTTCCATCTGATTATCTTACAAGCTTCTTTAGTGCAACTTTTCGGTTCAAATGTAATATGAAAACAGCTTAAAGCACATATTTGAAATAGCAGTGGGATACTGCATCCATTGGCTTGCATGTCTTTGGTCAATAGCTCCAAACAGATGTATTTTATGTAATTTATTAACATGATGAAAGCTAACTAAACAGCGCAAAAGCAGCTGATAGTGGGAGTGCATGTGTGTGTGGGTGTGTGTCAGTATAGATGTGTCTTAGGCTTAACAAAACAAAACAAAAAACAAAACTTTGGCATATCTTATTTACTTTCGATGGTCTTGAGCGGCACCATTTGCTCAGGATCGTCGGGATAAATACTATCCTGGCGTGGCTTCCGGCCAGCACATTGGCTGAACCAGGTATCACCCTTGCCAAAGCGCTCGCCATCCTCAATGGACTCTGGCATTGGCTTGTTCATTGTTTCCGGCAGGAACATAACCCAGAAGCCGGACACTAAGGCAACCACGCCGAACAGCACAGCCGGAATCTTCGGATCAAATGAATCGCCGAGTAGAGTAATCAGGGGTGTCAGAGCGCCAGAGAGACGGGCACACATTGAGCCCAATCCCATGGCTGAGTTGCGCACCACAGTGGGAAACAGCTCCGCCGAGTAGTTGTAGATGACGGCAAAGGATCCAGCAATAAGCAGCTTACCCAGCATCACAATACTCGTGGACAGTGTGGTACCCTGAGCTATGAAGGCGGCCACGATGCAACAGAAGCCGCCACCAAGCATCAGAGTGGAGGTGATGGAGCGACGTCCCAGGCGATCCAGGACAAAAACAATGGTTATATAGCTAGGGAACTCCACCAGACCCATAAGGAACAGTATCAGATAGGGATTGCCATAAAGCTTGCCAGCACTCAGCGATAGGCCATAGTAGACAATTGAGTTAGCGAACCAACAGAGGCACACGTTCAGGGTCTTCATCCGCAAGTTGGGCGTGCGGAAGAGATCCGCGAGACCAGCACTCGACTTCTCCTCAACAGCAGCCTGTTGCTTGGCCTTCTGCACATAGTAGTCCTTGCCTATGGGTATGCCAGAGCCGTTAATGCGTACTCCCTTTGCCACAATGTCCACTGCCTCGGCGGCACGCCCCTGCATCCACAGCCAGCGCGGCGACTCATCCATCAGCCACCAATGGGCCAGAAACAGGCAACCGTGCAAGCCATACACCACCTGCAGCATTTGACGATCCTTGATAATGGCACCCCAGCCGGCAACGAGCATTATGCCACCAGCAAAGACAGCCTGGAAAAAGAAATAATTTGATTTCAAAAATAATTTCTCTGTAGAGTTCAAATCTATTCAATTGTCTTGCAAATTTCACGGTCTAAGCTTTAATTTAATTAGAAGTTTTTGAAACGTATTAATTGGTTTTTTTTTTTTTTGTTTTTTGCCTTGACCTATATTGTCTCAAAGCTGTGAATTGATTGAGAAATCGGGTTTTTAGATTCAGAATATCTATCTAGAAGATTCATATAGCCAAGTCATTCAATATGATTAGCAAAATTTTGTGCTCACCTGGAAGGTAATGCCGCATACTGTCCGTTTGGTAGCGCCCACCAGCTCCATGGTCAGTACAAAGCCGCATATATAGGCACCAGCGGAGCCCACTATACCTAGGATAAAACGCGCCACCATGACCGAAAAGTATTCCGGGATGAAAGCCACGCCTACGCCGACAAATAGTTGCAGTAGCGCCGACCAGCAAAAGACGGTCTTGCGACCGACCTTATCTGCCAGGCCACCCAACGTAACGGCGCCCGTGAATGTACCCAACATAAAGACTGTTTGAATGATGGCACCCATCCAGCGACGATCGCAAACGAAGTCCCAGTCGATGGTGCGGGATGTCTTATAATACGTTGTATCGTACACATACTTCTCACAGGGTATCTGGCTGTGATCCCCAGCGCTCGCATTGTACATATGACAGGAGTCCAGCTCGCCGGATGGCTTTAATGGAATGGCGTCAAGGATGGCGGTAGAGTTCCATGGCAACTGGGACAGGGTACTGTTATCTACGCCGGCTATAAAGCATCGATGCTCGGGCACTGATGCAACAGTCACCAGGGACAGCATGTGCATACCCGCTGTCAAAGCGGACAGCACTTGCAGGAAAAATTGAGCGAATTGGTATTTGCCGAATTCACCTTAAAGAACAAAAATATAATCAGTCAATATGCGAATCTTAATTAAATAAAATAATAAATACTGTCTAGGACGGAAGTTGATAATGCAATACCATTCTTCCGAATGGCTTATCAGAATATTATTTATCAGAGTAAAAATAAATAGATTATCGACGTACTGATTTGGCCACAATGGAATTCGCTTTTTATCATATAATAATAATGAAACCAAGATACTAGGAAAAAGTAGCCAAAAATCAGTAAAAACTTTCTAAATTATTTTCTTTCTTTTCTGAAACGCAAAGGATATTAAATGTAGAAAATTTCCTTATATTTGCCACTGACTGTTGGGCTCATAATAGAAAGCACTTGTGTTTGCTTTATTTAATTAAACAGATTTCAACAATATTGCAAATAAACACGAAATGAATGAGCTAAGATAAGCAAAGAAGGCGTCTGCCACTTATTTGTTTAATTGAATGCCGATTCAACATGGATTACAATTGCAAATTAGTATTTTATTTGCATGCCATATATTTTTCTTCAGATAAATGCTTTTAAAATGATTGGATTATCCACTTTCATATGTCGTGCATGATATGATATAATCAGCTATGACAACAGAGTTCTTTTTGTTGTCAAATTGGGTTATCAGATATTTTTCGTTGGGCGTAACTGAACGCGTTTAACGGCGCCGATAGAATTGTCGTCACTCGGCAGACTTTGCAATTAAATCAAGTGGAATTTATTCAATTCGATTTCAATTGAATGGCATACAAATGCGCGGTAAACTGTTTGCCAACAGTTGGTTTTGCTTTTCTCTGTTTACTCTTCTCTTTTATGTTTTATGGGAACTATTGGCGTTGATATATTTTTTGCATGCACTGTACTGTGCTGTGCTGTGATCTGGCTTCTCGAGGTCAGGCACTTTGTAAATTTCTTTGGACGTAGCCTAGATATTTGTCACTTGATCGGTCCAATGTTCAATCGACAATAAATTACAATTGATTTGCGGTACCAACTATTCTAGCAATATCAATATTGATGTGTTCAACCAGTTGAGTGGACAAAAAGACAAACAACAGACGAATGCCAGTAAAGTTACAGACAATTCCCAGACGTGATACCATTGTCTAAGAATTTGTAAAACTGCTCAAATGATCGCACTATAAGTGTGAAATTATGTCACAGATCTCGGGCACAAAAAAGTAGTTTTTAATTAATACCAATTCCACACTCCGGCGATCTTTAATTAAATTCAATTGCATAATCAGAAAAACTGCCGACCGTCCGATCGATACGTAATGAAATTGAAAATGAATATGAAATCAAACGGTAGAATGCGAAATCATAACGGATTATCAGAAAATCAGTCCACAGAGCTTTTCATCAGTTTATGGCCGCATTGTGGGCTGTTTCGCCCAGTTTAGTGGAGCCCTGCCCTTAGGCACAATAACGAACACGAATTGTTTATTTTGGTAATCAAACATGACATAAACCATGTATTTGCAATATACTGTCATCATAAATGGAGCAAGGAAATTGTTATTATTGAATAGATAAAAGACCAATACTATTTTGCTCTTTGACTCGCAGTGAAAAAAAAAAGAAACAAAAAACTGTCAACAGAATAAACGAGTTAAAAGCTTATCATCTTCAAATACCCATCAAACATATGCTGATTGACGTATTAATACTTTACTCGACTCTACATTGATGTTAGCTATGCTGTGTGAAAAAATGATAGAAACATTATATTATGTTTCATATAGAGATCAATTGTATTTCTAGTGCGTGCTCACATCATTCAACTAACAAAAAAAAATTGAAATGCCCCTTAGAATTGCTATTGCATTTTAATTTCGTTCTCCATTCTCTTCGGTAACATTTAAAACTTTTTGACATTGATTTAGAACTTATGTTTGCTTTTAATTACACACACTATAACTAAGCCATTGCACAACTGTGAGCCACAAAATGAACAATGCCAAATGTTGCACAAACGAATCGAGTGCATCAACTGTGGTTGGCCCCACTGCAATGTGCGGTTGTATGGATTGTATATGGTTTTCAGTTTGCTGATGGATTTTTCCTCAATCATATGCATATTTAAAAGTTTGTTTAATAATTGCGAGTGTGTTACAGCAAGTAATTGGTATAATCTGTGTGTTGTTGTACATATTCGCTCTAGGTCAGTAGCCACATTATCGAACAAGCGAATCAAAATAAATGTAAATATAAACAAAAGAACATTCTATATATACAAAAATTCAATATACATATATGGAGCCGATGTATGTAAACTTGACCTAGACTACGCCCTGATTCAATTTGGACAGGGAGAACATGTAAATCGCAACAGGTTGCACTGCATTATCATAACAAAGCCCTTTACTATTCATTTTGAATAGTTCGACTAACACTTATATAATTATAATTTACACACCTACATATATAACTCATACAGCACGCTTTCTTAATGTATATATGGGCATATATGTTAAATATAAATGAATTCTATACAGAGCGTTGAGACCTTTGCCCCTCAGAGTCCAACAGAGTTCTTATCAGCGCAAATATGTTTATATACATATTTATATATATAACAAAAGAACTTTTTTTTTTTTTTAGTAAAAGTGAAGGTCATTCAGAATTGCCCAACACATTTGGTAAATATAATATTTTGTATATATATTTCACTACGTTTGAGTCATGTTTTGAATGACAGAGCTAAAAGAAGAACTAGAAAGTCACGGAACGTAGAAACAATTCAGATCTCACCTTCACTAAGAGGTAGAGCTGAGCAAAACAAAAAACAAAATAAATAAATGAAACAATAAGTAAATAATTAAAAGTATAAATATTAGAAGAACATAAATTGAATAACCTGTTTTTGGACTTTCGAATCTTTTGCCGTCATATGTACTTACAATATATGTAGATACAAGATATTAACATATACTTTGACGCGAGGAAAAAGTGGCTAATGCGGTCATTAGTCTCTTACCGGTTGGCATCGAATGATAAAAACTTGTTTTCTACAGACCGGCGTGGGCCGCCTTAAAATTCATATGTTACGATTTGAAGAATTTGCCAAATGCAGTTTACGAACTCTTGCTATTCAATTAACCAATAAATTCATCAATAACAAAAATATAAAACTGATTGAATTCTGTCATTGATAAGCCTTGCCATTTATGGTTATAGGGCTTACACAATGCTTATTAAAGGTTATGTAAGCTTAGAGTAAATTTGAAGCGTAGTTCGCGCGTATTTATAAAAAAAAAAATAATAATAATCTTAATAAATTTGCATTAGTTTACAATGCAATATTTATAATGACTTTTCAACTGCTCGCATTTATCTATAAACGTGTGAATTACCTGAATAAACCGCATCCCATTCTAAAACTTAATAAGCAGCTCATCTGCAACCGCGTGACGATGCGGTCTGAGTACGTTCCCAAAGATATATTTGTAAAGTCTATTTCATATGTATATGTCCAACTGGAAACGATCGATTACTGACGATCGACAATTTTGACTGAGTTGCGTTCTCTATATAGGAAGTTGTAACTAAATGTCAGTCAGTCATATACGACTCTTAACCTTGAGATGATTATTAAATTAGCAAACAGGGGCAATTAAAAGTGTATTAAACTTGACTGGCCGACAATGATAATAAAAAATATGAAAGATTATATGTTTGTACATATATGTATGTATGTAGGTATGCACACAATCGCATGCATATACGAAATCAAAGGGACGAGCAAAATGCGGACATATATCAAAGAGATAACAATATCTCGCATCTGATAATTAAAAGTGACAGCCGGATAACTGAATCTAACATTAATGCATTTTCGACTTGGATAAACGGAAACAACGCGGTCGCCATGCCGGGCACAAGATAAGCGAACGCATTGCTGATATGCGCCCATGATAAGGACGCCACACACTTTGTAACGTTGGCGGAGTGATTGACCTATCTACTCACCCAGTTTGCCCATTAAGTCCTCTAAAACGTAATCCACAGCCATTTTTGCTTAGATTAATAGTGCTATTGTTCAACAATAAATATCGTTCCAGGTAAGAAATAGATTCCCTCTGAATTCAACTCGATAAATCAAGTGGTAGCAATTTGCATCTTCTGTTGGCTTATACTTGATTGCAATACACTTGATGTAAATAAGTTGGGATTTCGATTATCAGAGCCACGAGAGGCGGGACTGAGACCCCAAGCCGTTTGTAACGTGCGCTGGAGATTGGCAAGCGCCGCCGTGCTGGCAAAAAGCTAAATGCGAACTGAATGGGCTTTGAGTACGCGAAATGAGTTTCGAGTCGTGACTGAATAACACTCACATACATATACATGAACATATCATATAAACCCAACAAATACTCGCACACACACAGATAACGAAACGCTCCCGCCGATATGTGTGGAAGAGCTCGACGATTGAGAGTGTGGATCGCGGTATTTGAGTGTTTGCTAAATTTGTTGTGGCCCCCTTTGTTGTTGCTATTCAATTCTGTGACATAATTCTAGATCGATAAGCTTACAAATCAACAGCAGAAGAGGAAGAATGTGTGTGTGTGTGTTATAATTCAGCATCATTTGTTTCCAAGCAGCGTGTGGATCGCAAGATTAGATGTAATTGCAGCTAGTTGCCAAGTCGCTCAGAGCCAAATTTTACATTATAAAAGCTTGAAGGCTCGTCTAAATGAGTATTAGATATGGATTAAGTTACATTTCACGCGACCGAAAAAATAATAACAAAATACATATGTATATACATGATATAATTATATTCTTATTTTTTGCACTTTCGGCATAAATTCCGGTTATTATAATATATTTACAAAATAAAAAGAAAAAGTAAAGTACCTGTAACTTAAGGAATATATTTAATCTTATTTTTATTTTAACTGTTTTCACATGATCATAATGTTAAATGATATTAGGGATCCTTAGCAATTTCAAATGACTCTTTAACATAAACGCTAATTTGAAGTCATATATTTTTTATGCCATGCAAGTAAAAATTGTATTTAAACATTATTTATGTTTATTTCCCAATAACCTTTACATAGCAACCTATTATAAATCAATTCCCATCTAGCAACATTCCTATTTATTTTCAAACATACATATGTATTATATATTTTTATAGCCTTACTAAATTTAATCTTTGATTTTATCAATTTTTAAAGTATTAAATTTTAGCAATGAGTGACCCATCGATATCGGACCCAATGTCCTTTTTATATTTGGACATGCTATCCAGAGTTTTATTAGATGAGGCTGAAGAGGCGGCGAAAGAATTTGATCTAAAAATGGATTTTATACGTGAACAGGAAAGAAATTGCTTGGAGATTGGGAAAGAAGTGAGATATTGACACTGTTGCAAACGAAATCATATTCAGATTTTCGCCAATAATCAATCGTTTTCAGCGTGTTACAGTGGATCTGCTTATTAACAAAATGCAGGAGTGTATCTTTCAAACGGAGCTCGAATTACAGGAGAACGAAGTGCAGTTGGATGAAATGGATAAACTCCTTTCACGATATCAGGCCAACTACATAGATTTCTCAAAGGGTCCCGAGCAGATACCCCTGAGACCTAGCAGTTATCGTACATTCCTGAAGCTACTTATATCGGCGGACCAATCGACTGCGCAATGTAACGACCTAAAAGAGGAACTCAAGGCTTATAACGAAGAAGCCATCGTGCGTTTAGAATCCCCAAATTTGGTGAGAGTATAGAAAACCCATATCTACGAGACAAGATTTAACGTATTTCTATAGGTAACCAGGATAATGGACTACCATTTATCAGCAATAACTGGACTGGAAAAAAAACTGGATAAGCTGCACAAATTGACCAACCAGGTCATTAAAAGCTATAATAAAATATGCAGAAAAGTAAAGATCAATAGCTTAAGTACCAAGTGCACCCGCCACAGAGCCAAGATAATGAAAGACAAACGCTACAATGGACCCCGCCCAACTACAGCTCGTTATAAATTTTGAAAATTAATATTCAATATAACGGTTTATATGATACATATGTATGAATTAGTAGGCAATTAAATGCATTCAAGTTCAACTTTGTTCTTAACATGACGAAGATTATGAAGATATTTGGTTTGTTAATTGTTAGTTCTTAGTTCGAGTCACGGAAGAAGAGCACATCGTCGGCTATAATGCTGGTGCTTGTCTTTTGGTTGCCCTGCTGGTCGGTTATCTCGCCATATGTAATCTTGCCCTGCACCATTGTGCGTTGCCCCTTCTTGAGGTACTCCAGCACAGTTTCACGCAGATTGGGTTTGAAGACAACCACTCGATGCCAGTCGGTGCGTTGCGCCCAGTCTCCATTCTCATATCTGGCGAAAGAAATATTTGTGTTACAGTTACATTATATGTATGTTTATGGGTATGTTACATTTCCACTCACTTGTAATTGGTGTGAGTAGCTACTGAGAAGGTGACCACCGGATGCTCCAGCGAGCCGCGGAGTTGTGGATCTGCACCGACACGCCCCAATATAGTTACCGTGTTGACAGCTATATATTTGAAATTTATAATAGGACCTGTTAATAGATTTATGCAGACCTAGAAATGATTTTCCATATACTTTTTTCAATTTTGGCGGGCGCTGCGGCCGTCGTGCTTGCGGCACCTCGTGCCGGCAGACTCCGAAATCCATTTAGCACTGGCTTAAGCTGTTAATTCATAAATATATGACAATTTACGAACATTTCTTTGTTTAAAGTATTACAGCATTTAACTTACAATGTGTTTAGCTTGTTGCATCATTTTTATGCGTGCTTTATTAACCGGCAATGCGTTTTAATTTTTGCAAACAGCTGTTTGGAAAGGACGCAGCTAACTTAACTCAATTTACTACTGCTTGTGGCGCACTCTGTTGGAAATTTTATGCAACATATCGATATGTCGAAAAGTCTTTTATAAACCCGAGGATTGGTCGTGATATAGTTTTGAATATATTTCAAATGCTAGAATAAAAATGTTAGCTGAAAAAATAATATATAATAAACAATATCATCTCAAGTGATAGTATGCAATAAGTTAATCTACTCTGGTTAATGTCAATGTATTGTTTACTATTTTAGCATACCCAAATATTTTTGCCACCAGTATTCCAATTGGATTGATTTTTCCACTGATGGGATCATAGGCTTACTCTATCGGTTAATTTGGGAACGACTACATGCTCGCTGTACCCAGCTCATTGCTCCAACACCCCGTAAAGGCGCGCTCTGTTGGGCAATTTTTTTAAACAAGCCATAGTACAAAAAACAGTCGACAGTGGCGCTTTGGTTATTTATATTTTTTACAAACTTGATTGTTTTGGTTTTTCTGCCTCAAATAATAGACACCAGAGGCAAAAAGATCTTTTTTGAAAACCTTGAGCACTCATGTAGTTAAAATGCATAGTTATGGTAGCCTGCCTTTAAATTTAAACTTACTAATTTTTTACTTAACAAGTAGTTTATCTAGCAAATTGAAAAAAGGCATATGTGGGTACATATATACATATATGTATGTATATATATTTTTTATACATATATTGTACAAACAATCCATAATTGGATAATAGAATAAGATAATAAACATTTTAATAAACAAAGACATATATTTTACTTTTAGCATATTGCATAGTATAGACTAAAAGTATGTATACAGATGGAAATTCTTGGGTCCATTTGTAGATATGCATACGATCGCAGCGAAGCATTGCTTGACCATTGAACAGGATGTACGATCGCCGATTGACTTCGTTTTACTGCCGAAGCGACATTTACGAGTCGCCATTTTGTGGATCCATTTTGTTTTTGGAAGAGCCGATTAGCCACCAAAGCCCACGGGAGGCCGGCATTGATTTCCACTGAGCAATTCAAGGCATTGCATCCAGCTGAGGTGAATGTGAAACAAAACGGAAGAGCAAATTCGCTATTTTATATATTTTCGTAACGTTTGTCTGTTGTGTGCTGCTGCAGCAGCAGCTTCAGCCTGCTATGCGCAGCAAGAGCAATAGCAATAACAACAACCTAAGCGACAACAACAAAACCAACAACTCTTCGACTTTGCATTCAAATTCAGGCGATGACGACAGCCAACCGACAAAGACGAACAGTCGGGCGGGCGTGCAGATGGGCAGGCGGCAAAGTTGATGTCGATGTCGATATCGGCGTCGGCGTCGGCGTCGGCGTTACTCTTGGTACTGGTGCCGGGCTGCTGCCCAAAGAATATTGCCAACCCGAGCCGCAGCATGAGTCTTGGCGTTATTTGATTTGTGCGTCAGAACAGCCGCTTCGTAGGGTACTACGACAGCTGTAGATAGTCCGTCCCAGATGGGTTTGAGTGTTGGAAATGCTTCAAATTCTGTTTTTCAAGTAGGTCATGTGAATAGACTGCTATATAATGTGCTGAATTTAATGATTAGAAATTGTCATATAATTGTTCTTTAAATATAAATATTTGCAATCATAAAGAGTTAAAAAATCATAAAATGATTTCATTTTTAACAATAATAAAATTATATGATTTAGTATTTAGTTAAAGACAAATGAAATATAAAATATGGTCAGTATACATATATTTAATTCCATGTAGTAAATTTCTTTGAATATTCTAACTATATCGATCGTGTATAGTTAATTAATTAATCAGTTCTTTAATACAACTGACTGAATGATCTTTAACCAATACTTAGTTTGTGGAACCGACTTTTACAGTCATATAAAATTATATTTTTCATTATATAAGAAAAGTTTTTTCCATTTCTTCCTATATATTGTAGCGCATAGCTATCCCCAGTGTAGCCCCAATCTAAGGCATTATTCATGCTGTCGTTTTCGAGTGCTGCCATCGTCGTCGTCGTCGGTCGGTCGGACGGTCGCTTCGACTCACCTCTCCACTCTTCTCTTCGTTATATTTCGTTTCGTCTCTCTTCGCTATCGTCTGCTGGCGTTGTTTCCAGCGCGCGTGTAGCTGGGCATATGTGTGTATGTGTGTATACATATAAGTGTGTGTATCTGTATGTGTGTGGGCTGTATATCTGTATCTGCTGTGTATATGAGGCTATGGCTATGGCTGTGACTCCGGCTGCTCGCTGTTGCGATACTAACGAACGAACGTCCCAAATGTCGACGTTGCCGTTGCCGTTGCTGTTGCTGTTGCTGTTGCTGTTGTTGCTTTTTGTATATTTTCAGTTTGTATAGCGAATGGCACGGTACGACGCTTGAAGAGGGAGCTGGCTGGTTGCTGTTGCTGTTGCTGTTGCTGAAGTGGTTGCTGTTGGCTGGGCTTCTCGAGGACGTCCGTTCGTTCATTTCGTATCGTTTCGTAGCGTTTCGTTTCGTCTGTTGGTTCGTTTGTGCGTTTGCGTGCAAAAGCAACGAAAACTCATATTCATTTTATAGTGAAACTCAACTCAACGCAGCTTAAGCTTAATGTACAGCAGTAGCAGCAGCAGCAGCAGCAGCCGCAGCAACATTCCAACTGGCAGCTTAAATGTTGTTGCTGTTACGGCTTGGTTTGTTCGTTGCTTGGCTGCCTTCGCCTGCGCGAAGGTTTTTGAAAAACGCGCGCAGCTGTTACAGCAATTGGGTAACATTAGCCTCAGGAACCCATTTAAAGCAAATCAGTATTTGTTCGCCTGCTAGACGCTCAATTTAATAGAACTTAAAGAGTAATTTAGTTGCGAATGAAAAATAATCTTCATCTATCGAAACTTCCTAGTCCTAATTGACTAATATAGAGCCCTTAGAATCTATATTCTATATACATTTTAGTTTATATTCTATATACTAAATAAAATCATAAACAATTGCGCCTGCATTTGCATCTAAAGCTGACTGCGCACAATTTTACCAAAACTTAACAGAGCAACAGAAACTTAACCAAACGAATGTTCGCATTAAAGTTTATTTCGAAACCAACTCACTGGCAGCAGCAGCAGCAGCAACAGCAACGGCAACAGAGCCAGCAGCAGCAGTGGCAGCAAAAAAAGCCCCAACAGCAACGCAAATGAAAAACGCCAACGAACAACGAACGAGCGCACAGAAAGCAGCACACAGCAACAACAACAATAATAAAAAAAAAAAAAAGAGAAAAAATCAAGTAAAATTACGACAAGCAAAGAGGCAGCAGCGAGGGCAGCGGCAGCAACGTTGAAAGAAAACAAGAAACTTCATCGCAGCAGCAACGAATGTGGGGAGCAGGGCGTCCACATGGCAGAGAGAGAGAGAGAGAGAGAGAGACAGTGCGAGCTAGATAGGGATGTAGAAGCGGGAAGAGTGGAACAGGGGAAAGCAGCCGCACAAAGTGTGTGACTGTTTGAGTGCCTCTGTGTATGTGTGTGTGTGTGTGTGTATACGTGTGTGAGTGTGTGTGTGCGGTGGGGCGAAGGTGAAGCATGCGATGGCGTTGGCTGCTATAACGTCAGGCAAGACTGAGGCGAAAACGACGACAGCGATGAAAAAACCCAGCACCGAACGAACCAACAGTGCCAGCAAAAATTTATAATAAAAGCAGCAGCAGCAGCAGCGACAACAGCAACAACAACGACAACGACAGCGGCAAACGTTGAAGGCAACAACGATGGCGTTGCTTGCAACTCTGAACAGTGCCAGGCCAACCAGCCCGTCAACTATCCAACGAGCAGCACAGCTTTAGTTGCCTCTTCAAAAAGAAGAGAAGATAGACATACCCTGCTAAGATGGTTAACGAAGTTTATAGAAATTCCGTATAAATAATTATTTAAATATGTATTTAATTGGGCTCGATCTGATAAAACCTAAATAAGAACTAGAGAAACAAGAATTTATTTAAATGAATAATAATATATTATTAGATTCCAAATATTGCAAACATTTCTCGTTTATAAACATTTCATTAATTGCTTTCTCTTCGATTTAAATTCTAGCTTAATACGGTTGCTTTGTAGCTTTTCTTACTTTTACATACTCTACTGTTATCTCAAGTAGTCACAGTATTTTCAATCTACTCGGCTCTAAGAAATTTTCATGGTAGTTTGAGGCATTAAAATATTATTGAGCAAATGATTTATTATTTTTCGTAACTCTTAGGTTCTAGTTACTGTCTTGAAGTCATCTTAATTACTCTATTGAATCGACTCTACCGCAAGAGTATACCAAATGAAAGAGCGAACATAGTTAGAGTTAAAGTCGTCGTGTTCGTTCTCGAATTCATCGTCGTCTTCGCCGTTGCCGTTGCCATCGCCGACTTCGTCACTGCGAGCTCTGAGCTGAGCTGAGCTGAGAACAGAGCACCGACAGTGACCGAACATTAAAGTTGAAGTAAAGTTGGAATTTGTGCCTGGGCCCCCCGTTCTGCCATAGCCTCCCATGCCCGCCTTTTGTAATCAGAATAAACGAATATTCGCTTAAGCTCTGCACATTGGAGCAAAGTACAATTGCAAAGAAACATCTGGATTAACGAATAACCAGAACTTTCCTTAACACTTTCGATTCTGTATTATTTATTAATAATATAATATTAATATAATATTAATATTATTGTTCTTACAAATTATAGGTTAAACAAGGAATTATAATAGGTTTTCTTTTTGAAAATTAGTATTGCATGTAGCAATGTATAGCATGAGTTTAAAATTAGTTATCTTGCACTTATTATTCTTAAATGAATTTAAGAAAATTCCTTCTAAGTCTTTACTACTATATTAACTGCTTTCCCAATTAATGAGACTTAATATAAATTAATATTTATATAAAAGTACTATAGTATATACTTGGTTTATGCCAAATGTTTAGGGGGTATATTGTTATTCCTAATATGAGTTTATTATATAGTATATATTTTTATCGTTTGCTCCATTCTAATCACGTAGATCCACTGTTCGCTCCAATCATTCAACCTTACCAAGCGGCAGGGCAAAACGCAAATGTCAAGACGAACGAGCGAACCCAACGAACGCAGTTCTGTCGACAACAACAACAACAATGACGACAACGACGACGACGGCGACGATGAAAACGCCAAGGAGTGGGCGGCAGCCCAAGTGTTGGAACGCTAGTGCTGGTTTTGGCTGCCAGGAGCTGAGTGCGAGGCCTAAAATATTCCCGCCAGCTCTCCCCAGAGCGCCTCACACCACATTTCAGTACGATAAAGGAAATGCCACACCACTGTGACAATACATTTGCTAGAGCTGGCCCCCAAAGCCAGAGCATACCGTAGCCTGAATAGTCGTCCTCGGTGCTCGGTGCTCGGTCCTCATCGACGTCGTCGTCTTCGTTGTCGTTGCCGTTGTCGTTGTCGTTCTCGTTGTAGTTGTTGTTTTCGTTCTAAGCGACGCACATGGCCGCATACCACAGAGCGGAGCGCACTCTGCTCGAGCCCTGAGTCAGAACCTGCAGTCGACAACAGCAACAACAACAACAATGTCGACTGTCGGTCCGCTCTTATACGATGGCTGCTTCATGTGCTTTAGTGTCGAGCCAACACTGGCTCCAGCACAGGCTACATCAGCACCGCCGACACCGTCACCGCCAACAACTCTGGGCTCTGGCTCCGCTGCTTGAATTTTGTTGCCGCTGCCTTTGCCTCTGCCTTATTCCCATTTACAGCGTCAGGTCTGAAACTCTGAAACGTAGGGCTTGGGACTTTAGTTCTGACTCTGGCTCTGACTCTGTCTCTGTCTCGGGCTCGAGCCGTCGAGCTACGACCAGGGCCGTCTGCTGCTGGCTGGTTTGTAGGTTCTGGTTCTCAACCAAGCACATGGCTAACAGCCACAAAAGCGACGTTGACGACGACGTCGACCAGTTGCCACTTGCGCAACGCAAAAAAAAAAAAATAATAATAAAAATCGAAAAGAAAAGAAAACCCAACGGCAACATCGATCGATGTATGTGTATAAAAATAGAGGGAGCCTTACTCTTATATGGGTGGGTGGGAAATAATTAGCATATTTGGGGTAAATATATATATCTAGAGCACATGAAGGGTATAAGTACAAATATATATTATATTATTGAAAGCATTCAAATAGAGGTAAGCTCAGACGAATGTATTAGCTATAAATAACATAGTTAGCGGTTGATCAGATTAGGGACTTAGATTAATTTAGCCATAACATTCACTAACAATAAAATAATGTTGTAAATTATAAATAAATAGACTTTAATTTAAAAGAACATATGTTTTACTTGGTTGCCTTTAACGAGCGCTATGTAACTTAGATTATGCACGGAGCATATAAAGGATCCTCTTTTAGCTCTGGCTTTAGAAAATTCGTATTATATTACTTTAACTGATATGAGATATGAAAGATATTTTAAAACAACAAACAAAATTATCATCAAATTAATTATAACAGAAAGTGACCTATCATATAAGGCAAACTTAACCAAAATCAAATCTGAAATGTTTGCCATTAATACAACATTTCGAGAAGTGAGTTTGAAAAGGATCGATAATTGCAAAAATATATTTATTTAAAATTCAACCTAGCTTATAAAGTAAAACTATAAAATAAAAAAAGTCAATCAAACTGATTATAGACTTAAAAAAGATACCAATTGATCAAGCCCATATCAATTTGAGATTCCTGCTGTATATGGTAAATCTATTGCAACTTAATCCCGCTTTTAGTCAATTTGATTCCCACAGTTTTTGAATACTCTTCAGGCGTACGTGCGTCCCATTTAGCAGTTGGGTTAAATGGGGCTCACTCGATTTCTGTTGAAATAATGCCAAGTCAATGGCGCACAACAATTTGGGACCTTCCAGCGACTTCAGCTTCAGCTTTATTCGCTGTGTGTCATCAAAACAAACAGCAGCGGCGAGTAAGAAACAACTGATAAAACCTGAAAAGCGAATGCGTCATGCGCCCCCAAAAACTGAACTTGTGCTGATTGTGTTTTGCATTTATGTTTGTTGGGTTTTTTTTTTTTTTTTTTGCGAATAATGGCGTGGGCAAAAAGTTATCGATGGCGCTCAAAGCAACGCTGCCAGCAGCTTGTTTTGAAAGCACCGCCACATTTCAAGGATACCGTTCGTAACGGGTTAGCTATTTACGTCTCGCCTGGCGAACTCTAGCAGAACCCATGCGCCGCTGCTATCCTTCAGCTAGAGTCAGAGCGAACAGCTGGGCATGATTTCTAGCCATTCGCGCCTGCAGCTAGGTTTGCCAATACGACGCACACACACACGCACACACCGTCGCACACCCACACATGCTAAAAACCTCATTCATTTAGTTTTCGCAGAGCGACAGCAACAATAGTTTGTTTCAAGAGTTCGGGGGGAGCTCTTTACCGGCTGTCCTGGCTGTTAGGCAGCCTCAACTCATGGCCCAATGCATAAAAATCCAAGGGAAGCGACTGCCGCATAGAGGGTGTCTCAGCCAGCTTGGAGCTGTCCACTATGCTGGCGCTGCAACGGAACACCCTCTATAACGGCACACATTTCAGGCCATGCTCGCCTGTCAGCCGGTCCCTCGGTCGGACGGTCGCTCACTTTGCTATTCAACGAGCCCAACGTGAAGCACGGCGCGAACGCTGGCGCGGGTTACATTCGTTTAGGGTGAATGCCGCACTCCCAGCCGCTTGTACGGACGACCGCCCGCCCGCTCGTTTGCCCGTTTGCCCGTTTGCCCGTTTGCCTGTCAGCCAGCAACCACCCACTCGGGCCGCAACCCATCCACCCACCCAGTCGTTCGTCCTCGTCCTCGGCGTCGCTGGCGTTGTCGTTGTCGTTTGTTTGTCACAATAGGGCAAAAGTTTCACAGTAACCGTTATGCGACCCACAGACACCACCGCCCCAGCTCAACGTGGAACCCAAATGTCTGCCAGCCAAGCCAGCTACCACCCAACCACCCAGCCACCCACCACACGATCTGCCTGCCAACCAGCCAACCAGTCAGCCATCCAGCAACGTTGTCCGCATCGGCACAGCGACAACCAAACACAGCAAAAAACAAACTGCTGCACTAGAAAACAGCAGACACACAAATACTCTGAGATCTATTGAGAATAAGCTTACAGCTAAAACTGTACTGTCTTTTTTTCCGATCATATACATATGTAGGTATAAGGTTTCTAATCCATATTTTTTCTTGAATATCTGTAAGCAGCCCCATAACGATAAAAATAAGAAATATTTTAGTTGAAAATTAATCTCTGCAAATAATTATAAATTACTTATATTTGATAATTGACTTAGAGAAATATGTTTTATATGAATGGTGGAGTTTGTTAGGGAAATACAATATAATTTTAAATACGAAAAATATGCCGATGATCAGTAATTGATAAAAATTTATAAGCGACTTGATTATGGCTGAATGAATTGGTATCCTTATTCACGGCTCGATACGGTTCTTAGAACTGGAGTTAGATTTTCATACGACACTTATTCATTGAGTATCAGAGTTTAAAATGAAAAAATATGTATATATTGCAGATTAATTTAATTTATAAATAAATAAATAAAATAAATACTAAAGTATATAAATACAAAAGTATATTTAAATGTATATGTTTTTACATTTTTAATAAATAGATATAATCTTAACTTATTGATTGTATAATTGGCCTTAGATATATTTTTTATATTTTATATTAAACAATTCGTAATATATGTATATATTCATTAATTCATGAATTACTTTACTATTATTCGGCATTCCATGCCAAACGCAGCAAACGCATTGATTATTCGTCTATGACTGTTTTACTCGTTTCATTTTTATAGGGTATAAAACTTGCTCTGAAATACGATGGACTATACATACAGCTATAATACACACACACACACACACATACAGCCATATGCATATACACATACATATAAATACATATATCTATATACACATCTACATATACATATATATACACTGAAAGCATTAAGCTTTCATGCGCATGTGTTTGTGTGTATGTAGGAAACTTTTATTGTCAGCACAAACAGACACACGCACACGTACACACACACGCTCAATGTTGCCTCCATGCTCGAGCGAAGGATAAAATGCTGCAAATTCACGGCAACAACAATAAAAACAACAACAACGACAACAACAACAAGAACGGCGGCAACAACAGATATAACAAAAACAACAACGACAACGGAGCACACGGTACGTATACGTATCCATCAGATAGAAAAGGCATCGGGCAGCATGCTGAAATAATGAAGCAGCAAGGACTCGACTCGAGTCGAGTCGAGCAAGGCAGCCAGGATAGCTGGCAAGCCTTGGCAGACAGGCAGGCAGCCAGTCGACTTGGCTTTGGCTTTAGCTTGGCTCTGGCTCTGGCTCGGTCTCTGTCTATGTCTCTGGCCCGGTCTCTGGGCCAAAATGAAAACGAAAATGGAAAATGTGTTTGGCTGTGGATGGGCAGGATAACAGGCGGGACAGGCAGCAGCAGCAGGGACGAAGCCAGTATGCTGTTTGGGGCTGAAAGGACCGTCTCCGACAAGGATATTGCGCACGAGGACAGGATGGCTGCCTGGCTGACTCGTGGTGTTGATGATGATTACAGAGATGCGCAGATAGAAGCTGAAGTCAGGCAGCTAGAGCTATCCAAACAGGCGAATGCGAATCGAGCAAAAAGCGTTTGCTTGCTTCGTTCCTTTCCATATGAAAATGCCATGTTTTTGTTGTTGCTGTTGTTGTGGCCATTGTTGTTGTTATTATTATTATTGTTTTTGTTGTTGTAGAAAGTCTAACACGCCAAGAATGTACAACGTTGTTCTTGTTGCTATTGCCACTGCCGTTGCTATTGCTGTTGCCATTGCTTTTGCTCTTGCTCCTCCTCTTGCTCTTCTTCTTGCTCTTCTTCTTGCTGTTGCTCTTGCTGTTGTAATGTGATTCGCCCTACCAAGCGCCGCCTCTCCGCCTTGCTTTTCTACAAACAGCAATGAAGGACCACCAGAACAGCAGAGCAGCACAGCACAGCACAGCAGAGCAGCATCAGCATCAGCATCAGCGGCTCCTAGTCAAGTCTCAGTGCACGAGTAGCTGAAAGGTCTGCTTGAGCCTTGGCTCGGCTTGTGGATGTGGGCCGGACTGGGCTGGTTTCGGTGCGGCATTAGATTGAATGGAATTGGGAGGGCGCATTGTGGGCTAACGCAGAACCAAAGAACCCGAAAATATATTCCACTAGAAATGTTTATTAAATTTCTTGCATTTAAGCCTTGAGATGTGTTCGAGCTGAAATTAGAAATCGACTTGGCCAAAAACAAAGGATTCCAGTTTGCCAGCCCAATGTAAGATGTTTCACAATTAAAGATGTTTCGACATTAATTATTGAATGCCTTCGAACTGTTATGCCTAAACGCCTGGCAGGCTAATGTCTTTTGAGCTAGCTCGAATTTAAATCATGTCCTGTAATCTTTGAGCTGCAATTAAAACAAAGAAAATTCGTTGTGGCTCAGACTTTTGTATTTGACTGAATTGCATTTGCATCAGTTGCTAGATAGCTAGGTAGCTCCATAACTAATTAGAAGTTGTTTCAAGGAAATTTATGAAAATATTCTACAATAATAAAGCATATTCAGGCACGATTGAGTCCGAAAAGAATAAATAGCAAGCAGGTCAGAGCAAGTTAAGTGTGCAGATAATATTTAACATTAACAAATTAAAACTCGATCTTTGAATTGTATTATTATTTAATACCATAATTACATAAGTAAATCTTGATTTAGTGTAATTAATTTATATATTATAAAATATGTTGATATTGTTAAATGAATATCACATAATCTAAACTGTTTTCCCATCATTCATAATCAAATAATGAATCGTTTCATTCATATAAACATTAATATGATTAGATAAGTAAGTTAGTAAAATGGATAGTCTTTGACTATACAATTTCGTAGTTAGCATTAAGTTGAGTTCTTGGTTCTTAAGACTGATATGATATTATAAGACCTAATTATATTTAACGTTTTATATTCAACTTAATATTATTGAATAACCTGAGCAACATCATTATAGACTACTCAAAAATCAATGTGTAATGCAATAGCCAATTTTTTAAGATAAGCCACAACTCTAATGAGTGTCCTTCCCGCCCATTCGCCACGCCTGCTTCGTTATCAATGCCCGCTTTGCGCATTGTTGCTGGAGTACGTAACATGACCCACTAATTGGTTATGCATTGCACAGCGATGGGGCGACACCTCAGCCTTATAAGCCGAGCCCATGCAGTGCCATGCCCCATGGGCGCTGCCCGCTGTGTAAGGTCAGCTCGGCTAACCGCAGGCCGTGTGCGCCAATTTTGGTGAGTGGCCGCTGTGAGGATGTGAAAATGCAGATGTGGATAGACATGGAGAAGGAGATTGAGATGGAGGTAGAGTTGGAGATGGAGTTGGAGATGCGGGACTTGTAGATGTCGTAGTCTGGCGCAAAGCGAGTGCGTGTGTGACCCAAATACACACACACACACACACACACACACATCGAATGGCTCTGTTCATTCAGACAAACCAACACACTCGGCTCCAAATATCAGCAGCCACATGTCAAAGTGCGTGCAGGAGTTATGCAAATGTGAGAGCTGTCGGAGAACTAACAGGCGTGGGCAACAGGATAGGTGTTGTTGTTGCTATTGTTGCTTTTGCTGACTGTGCTGCTGTTGCTATTGTTGTCTGGGGTGTCGCGTCTGACAATGAAACCGCACTCACCAGGGCAGCACACAGACTATAGGTGTGTGTGTCTGTGTGTGTGTGTGGCAACTGTTGGTGGGGACGCTTAATAAGCGCAAAGGCAACTGGGCAGCAAGGCGTGAATCCTTCAGGACGTCGGAGTGTTGTTGCCGCGAAGCGAAAGTTTTTCTTTGCCAGCAAATTTGATTTTATGTTGTGTGTGTGTGTGTGTGTGTGTGTGTGTGTGTGTGTGAGGGTCTTTTTTTGTGTTGCTCTCCGTGAAAAGTGAAAAACTTTGCAACCCCTTCGACTGCGACGCGAACAGCGCAGATGGCATCGCTGTCAACGTCGGCAGTGGCGCAACGTCGACGCTGACGTCGCGCTCGCTGTCAGCCTTAGCGTCGTCGTTGGCATCGGCTTCGTATTTTCAATTTATGGTTTTGTATGCACAGAGCAAGAGACGTGGCACACACATGGAGCAGGAGCAGGAGCAGCAGACGGAGCCATTGCCGCAGTCGCATAGTAATAGCAGGAGTCGTAGACAGAGCCCAATGCCAATGCACCCCGTTGTGGATTGTGTTTAGAGGGATGAGGTGCATGCAGCTGCACAGGGGTGGCAGTTAGGCGTGGGAGGGTTGAAAGCCTGTGCTGGCTGAGTGACTAGATGTCTGGTGGCTGCTGCTGCTGCTACTGCGGCTGTTGCTGCGGCTGTTGCTGCTGCTGCTGCTGCTGTTGCGTCGTCTGTTGCTTCGTGCGTTTGCTTTTAATACATTTTCGCCAGCTGCTAAACTTAAATTTCCACAGCTGCGCCCCGACTAGACGCCCCCCACACACACACAACTCCCAGCTCGCATCTGTGCGCTGTGAATTCGCATCGCATGTGAATTATGACAGAACTTTGTTGGGGCCGCAGCAACCGCGAATGCTGACGCTGACGTAGACGTAGACGTTGACGTCGCCGTCGCCGTCGCAGTCACAGTCGACGTTTGTTTTGCATTTTTCATGCTGCCAGCGAAGGCAGCAGACAAGCGGCGACCTTGAACAATTTATTGTTGTTGCCTTTGCCTTTGCCGTTGTTGTTGTTGTTGTTGTTAACTGCTTTTTATTTATTTATGGTATTTTGCTGTTGGTGCTGGCAGTGGCGCTTGTGGACCCTTGTAATATATGCATGCCAGGCAGGCGGACAGGCAGAGCGCCGGCAACCTGCCATTCAAAGCCATCAACAACATGAAGCATCCACCGAAAGGCAGTCAGTCAGCCGCACACCAATACAACAATCCATCTATCATTAGTCAATGCTACTCTCCTCCTCCTCGGCATTGACGTCGGCGTCGCCAGCGAAAGTGTTACGTTCAATGCTCCCGTCGCGACGTCGTTTTGGCGTTGGCGCTATCCCAAAAGAGTCGCCGCTTGGTAACAAGTGGTTCTCCCTCTTTTTGGAAAGCCCGATCCTGACTCCCCTTACCTCAGCAACCTCATTACCCAACCCTATGCCCATTGGCTTGCGGTTAATCTGTTTATACATTACATTACAACAATGCCAACAACAGCAAAACGAAAGGAAAAAGAAGAAAAGAAAAAAATCAGCTCACAGCTGTTTGGGAACTGTCGTTTTTATTGCCGTTGTTGGGCTGTTCTTTTAATTAGGCGTGAAAAACTCTCAATGAACGTTGCTGCCGCCCCAAGTGATTGTTGTAGGTGTGCGTGAGTGTGTGTGTGTGTGTGTGTGTGTGTGTATGTGTGTGTGTATATGTGAATGAAACTGAATGAAGTTATGAGTAGATACGCTAATGAGTGAGAGGACAGCGAAGGTCAGTTTAATGTGCTGGAGAAACGAAAGACTAAATCACCGGGAGCAGGAGCAGGAGCGGGAGCGGAGCAGGAGCAGCAACATCGCGGACAGCTTTATAGCCAGCAACTTGTTGAATGAATGTTACTTCGAGAGCGTATCTTAAGCCCGACTGTCAACAGTTAGTCGACAGTTGTGAGTGGCGGCGTCCTTCGCTAAATTTGCTGTGCCGTTGTCTTGGGATTGTCAGCAGGTACATCACTTAATTGGATGCTGCATCAAATATTCGAGGCTTTCAGAATGTTGAGCATGCTGCTATTACTAGCAATTAGCATATTCATTTTTATCACATTATATTTTACTATTCGATTGAGTTTATTATGTTATTTTGAACCAAACTTTTATTATCCTAAATATTTAGTGTCTTATCATATATAAAGTTAATCATAAATAATGTTCAATGCTCTAACATGTTCGTGATTCAGAAAAGCATATTTTAATGCTTTCATTTATTCAAAATTAGTACAAGATAATATTGTATTGATAATAAATATTAAGAGCCAAAACAATTTAAGTCTATTTACGAATACTTGCTTATATGTATGTGCAAACGTCGCTTCATAAAATTCATAACTTCATTATCTTTGTGTGATATAATAATAAACTAAAAATTGTTTACTTATATTATTGCATCAATATTAAGTCGTATATTTAGTATACTATTATAATGTAGAGCTAGTCACACTTTAAATGAATGAAAATTTATACCTTAATGTATCATCCTTATCTTAAAAGGATCTAAACTGATATGCATTCGCTAAAATTATATTTTTTGAACAGTCTTCTATAACAGAAATTACTAATCAGCATATGGCCTGTATAAGGAATATTTAATACAAGTTAAGATAAATTTTTATATTTCAATTAATTTTTAAAGAAAGTAAAAAGACATTGTCCTGCTCTTAAAGTTAGAAAAACGTATAGACTTTTCATTTTCTTTGTATTTCATTTATTTTATTCTTTACTACATAGTAAATGAAAAGAAAAGTTAGCCACATATCATTTCGTAATTTTATATTAAATTTATTAATATTCATAATTTGTTATTAATATTAAGAACATGTAAATGTCAGTCAGAAACAAATATTATATATTTACGTCATTTAACACAGCATTCAGAAGCATTCCAGCAAATATTCACTTTGTTGTAGACTAAGCCTGGTTGCTTTGCAGTTACATGCCTTGTTCTCAGACCACTGAAAGATTGACAGCCGTCTAACCATATCTAGTTATATGCGTAAGTCCCCCAAAGTCTGCTTAGTTGAGACCGACACCACAAACTGGGCTCCGAATTCTCCAATGCAACGCCATGCAGCGGTCAATATTTCATATGCACATGTACATGCGCCTGTTTATAGCTAGATCTGTTTTATGTGAGTCGGTGTGTGTGAGTGAGTGGCCATGCGTGTGTGTGTATTTGTGGGTATATGTATTTGCATTTGTGTCAACACACGTTAGTGCTAGCCATCGTAGTACTACGCTACGTATACGTAACATGCAACTATTTAGTTTCATCGAGAGACGCCACAACGACTGTTGTCCCCCATTGGCTTGGACTCCACCCTGTCGCCCGCTAATCCCTCACCCCACGCACTAACTGGCCCCAACTAGCAACGAAATCCTGCTGCACTTGTCCCCCTTTCACTGCTGGCCAGTGGATAAACTACACAACACATGGCATTCTACTTAGTTGGCGCCGAGCTGAGTTCAAAGCACAGACGATGATGACGACGGCGACGCTACTAATGTAGCTGAGTTTCGTCGTAGTGCCCACCATTTCCCAACTCCTCCAACTCACGCCAATCAGTGATAACCAGCGCCTTGACACTAGCTGCCAGTCGAATCGGGGACCCTGGATCAAGAATCTGGATTGTAAATTATCTAGATAACTCAAAGCTGCCAGCAGTCCTAGCATGTGAAATGTAATAGCACTGAAGTGCTTTATTGCCAACTCATTGTCCGCTTCAGATGCAGCGAAAACTGCACCACGAACAGGTGTATCTAAATCTGAGAGGAATTCTGAAGGTATATCAAACCAAATCATCCCAATGAAATTGTGTAGTATTTCTTATATATTGTCTTCCCTGATTTCTTGATCATAGATAATAATTGTTTGTGTTGTAATTTGTGTTTAAAATACCTAATACGAATTATAGAATAGAATGATAGCTGTAAAGTCGTTAAAGTCCTTAGTGCTGACGTTTCTTTATTTTTATTACACGTGAATATCTCCTATTTGTCTATATCTAATTCACTTCACTTAGTCAGAGATCGCCAGCTCGTCTGCATATTAATAATCAATATTATTAAAGTTCGCCCTTCTATTAAAATCTCACAAAATAATTGGAAGCTTAAAGCTAATTGAAGCTTAATTAATTGTTATGAGCTGTATCCAAGAGGAAAGGCATAAGTTGCTGAGGATGATGATTATGATGCAGAGCAAAAGCATCATTATCAAAGTCACTCTTGATCCCCAACTTACATAAATCAGATCCACAATCAAAGATTACTCTGAAATACTAACTGGGATTAGAGTCCTTCAGCTTGCTTAAGCTGGACATAGAAATTGAGATTGAAAGGAGCCTTTCCTTCTTGGTTTTTTGAGTCTTCATAAATATTAAGTGTTGTTTAACGTCTAGCCAACAGGTTCATAGAACATTTGTGATTCACAAATTTAGGTCCAAAAACTAACATCTAAAACTATTTATTTCGGGTTTCACCTTAAGCTCTTTATTCCGCACATATTCCCTGTCATTTTCCAACACTATTCGAATACTTATTACGTAGCACGGGCTACAATGGGACTACCTCGATTCTATTGCCAGTCCCGTGCCCGATCCCAATCCTGGTCCCCCAGCTCCCAGATTACTGACAGTTCAATTGTGGCGCCGTTGACGTCGCCGGGCGCACACACACACAGCACGGCAGGGCACACACAATGGCACACACAGGCATTTAAACTAGACGAACGAGACGAGACGAGAAATTTATGCGGCTCCAACTCAACCCAAAAACGCCCGTCCACACGGCACAAGCTGAACCCAGCCCAAACTCGAACCCAAACCCAAACCCAAAACTCAAACCAAGCCGGAGCCAAAAGCAATGTGAACTAAAACCAACCAGGCCCAAAGCCAGAGCCAGCACCAGCGCCAGTGCCAGAGCTAGCTAGCGCCAGGGCGAGAGCGAGAGCGAGAGCGAGAGCCACTTCCACAACGAGCATCATGCCACCGAGCAGCTACCACCCAGTCAAAGTGGCAGGGCACAGGCCCATCGTACACCCCATTGCCATTTCGTTATTTGTATGGACCGATGTTGCCGAACCGTCGAAACAGCAAACGAAGCGGCGAACCGACGAAACGACGAAGCGACTGCCCAACTGTCAGACGGTTGCCTCCACTGAACGTATTGTGGGGTGGGTTTTTGTGTTGTAGCTGCTGTGTGTATATACATGTATACGTGGGTATGTGTGTGTGTGTGTGATGTCGTAGTCAGATAGATTAAATCGATGGAAATGTAGGACTGTATACACATACACACACACATACAAGATACACACAGCCAGTCATCTAACGAACGAATGCGCCTTGTTGTTGCTGTTGCTGTTGCTGTTGCTGCGGCAAAATACAACAACAGACAACCAACGCATCACAGCAGCAGCAGCAGCAGCAACAACAGCAACAGCACCAGAGATCTCACAGCCAAGGGGGGTTAATAGACATATAAATAGTGAACAAAGAGATCATAGTTTAATATCAACTTTAAATATATTTAAAAGAAATACGCATGAATTAAATATAAATATTTCTATAATCAATTTAATTTTTAGTATGTATATTTTATTTATTATAATATTACTAATGCTCCAAATAATAAAATAACAAAGCATAAATTATGGAGTAAAATTATTATAGTATTTAAATAAATACATATATACTATAATAATACAACAAATAATTTTTATAATTAATATTTAATTTGAGTAAAAATCTTTTATTGCTCACAACATAATGAATCCCCGTTTCAGCTTTTACTACGCCACTGCCTTACCGCATTTTCAGCTTTGTTTGCTTTCATATGCTTACTTATAGATGTGTGTGTCTGTATGTGTTTGTATGTGGTGATTGTGATTGTGTGTGTATGCGAGTGTTCATATAAATGTGCATGTACTTGAGTATATCATATAGTGTATATACAGTGAAAGCTCTCATTAAAGCCAGCCATATTGCTATGTTGAAATCCTTCTTGCCGATTGTTGATCGTACACCTGACTGCAAAAACTGAAGCGAGCTTCACGCCGTAAGCATTGGGAGGCATCAAATAATGACGAACTCTTTCAGGGAGTGTTCACTGTGATTGTGGGGTTGATAAGCCTTCAAATCGAAATTATCAAAGCGAATACTCAAACCGAGCAAGTGTCCAACACGTCAGCCTCAGTGTGGTATGAGAAGCGCATAGAAGGCCTACGGCAGAGAAAATATCAATAAATTGTAAACATTTCTGTCCACAGGTAAGAGTTGGCCCAGAAATCAAAAATAAACATGCTAATGGAAAATATAATATTGAAGTTATTATAATGAATTAATGAAAATAATTGTATTAAATGTCCTAAAGATGTTAAAATAGACTTGAAATGAAATGCTTTTAATATAGCAAATAAAACGTAGGTTAAGAATCAGTAACGTATATTATTATTATGAATATTTAAAGACCTAACCGATCTTAGTTTGATTGATTAAAAACCTATCAATACCCCGTTTTATGTCGACAATAAATGAAGTTCTTAGTTTATTCTTAAAATATGGTGACCTCTTTAATAGTCAATCTTAAAATCTATTGCTCTGTGCCCAGACAGAAAGGAGCAGGTGTCATTCGCAGCAATGACAATCCCCATGAGCGGCATCGGACAATTTGCAACATGCACTCAGTTCAAAACGTTCCCGCCCAAAAACTCGAAATAGCGCACATTTGAACTATTTGCGAAACGGCGGCTTAGCCCCGCTTAGAGGCATGAATGGGAACTGGAATAGAAACAGAGAGCAGACCACAGACTCCGGCTTCAACCTTTCATAGGCAAGCCAGAGTCCAAACTGGCAACAACAAGCACGATGATGATGCTGCTGTTGCTGTTGCTGTTGCAGCTTTTTCTCGTTAATGTTGCTGATACCGTTGTTGCTATTGCTGCTGTTGCTGTTGCTGTTGCTGCTGATGCTGATGCTGCTGATGCTACTCTCGGTTCACTGCGGCGATGTTGTAAAAGTTTTGCGCACAAATCAGCAACGAGCACACACACACACACACACACACAGTACATCTGTGTGTATGAAAGGATACGCAAAGTGTATGAAATAAAAATACGACAGCAGCAATAGCAACAGCAACAGCAACGGCAGCAACAGCAACGGCAGCATCAGCAACAACGGAGCAACAGCAACAACAAATGGCATTTTCAGAGCTCGAAGGCGAACAATGAATGCCAGAGAGCCAACATCGTTAGGGCTTAAACCAGCAGCTACCCTAAATTCCCCCTATAGCTACATAGCAAAGCCCCCCACATACGCCCCCAGCCCTGCCCTGTCCTGCTCCGCTTCTATCTATGGTCGATGGTGCCCAAACATTGACGCTGCGCTGCGTCGCACATTTTCAATGCGCTCGCCTCGAAACGGTGGAAAATGCGCGTCCGTTGTTAGTCGGAAAACGTCGTCATCCGTCGACGGTTGTTTGGCTGGCTTGGACCAGGTCTGGCTCGGCCTGCTGGCTACAACTCTGCCTTGGCTTGGCGTTCGTTATGCGCTAACTGCAAATAACACAGCAGCCGCAGCAGCGGCAATAGCAACAGCAACAACATGAACAGCAGCGATGGCAGCAGCAGCACCAGCAGCAACAGCAGTGGCAGCAGCACCAGCAGCAGCAACAGCAATTCTCAATTTATATTAAAGCGAACGAGGCGAATCGCACGAATGCGCTCGGCAGTTGCTCGGCTAAAGTACGAGCTCCGCTTTTGGGGGACGTGGAGCGTGTGCAAAACAAAGAGCCACCCAGTTACCAGCAACAACAACAGCAATAGTAACAACAACAGCAACAGCAACAGCAATTTCCCTCTCTGTCTATGCATGTGGCTGCTCGCACTCACCATGTATATATAATGATGTGTATGTGTGTGTGTGTGTCTATGTTTCTATATATATGTGTGTCTGTGTGTGTCTCTGTGCAATGCCATCACGTCAGCCAAGCAACCAAGCAAGCAAAGCAATCAGCAGTCAGTCGGGTCAGGGAATGGGGAATTGCTGTTGTTGTGCATGAGTTTATATATATAAAATATATATATATGTATATATGTATATGTACATAGATTTATGTGAATGTGTGCAGCTAAGCCGCTGCCAGCCAGCAGCCGCAGGGGCCCCCAAACCAACGACAGCAACCACCCACTTTTATCAGTCAGCAAAAGGTCGTTCGGCTATGTGGTCGACTCTGCTGTGGAACAACAGAGAATAACGATATGAATGTTGATAATGATTGTCGAGTGGATGACGATGATCGTGATGATGAAGCGCCTGAGCACCTGACTTGCAAATGCTGTTTGTCAAGATCAGTTGACGCAGATCTGAGCATGTGAAACGATTATTTTTCCGATTATGCGAGCAACAACTTTGAGCTTTATTTAAATACGAAAGTATTGAATATATTTTACAAATATTATCTCACAATTTTACTTTCTTGTTTATGTCGTTTTTCGATTTTCATGTTATTTACTTTCATGTTTTATTTACTTTAACTGTAAATGATTTTTGAAGAGTATTATCATTATTATGTTGATCATTTTGTTTTTTCAAAATTTATTATTTATTTTCAAAATTTTGTAAATTTTATTCCTAGAAAACAAACCTCAATTATTTATTGTATCTACTATTTTTTATTTATTCTGTCCATTCGAATTGATTGTTGTAATATTGATATAATGTTTTTTGGAATTATTTATTTATAAACAAAACATTTTGTTTTCTTTTTTCGAATCGAAAAAATTGTCTGATAATTCAATAGAAAATAGCTCGTATGTATAAATATTATTTTTTTTTATAATTTTATTATACTTAGGATTGTTCTATATATATAACTTTTTTTTCAGGTATAATCGCGTATAAATAAATTTATCAATTTTACTTTCTAGCATTTGTATATCAATGTGGATGCTCCCTAAAGTGATAGATCGATATCTATCTAGATCTAACAATATCCATCTAATATATCAAATAAAATAAAAAGCTAGTGATCCTGTAGATCGTCTATAAGTGTAGACTTTAACAGCCCAACGATCATTTATCGATAGGTCTCAATATGTTTATCGATAACTTTTATATTAGTGCCAAGTATGTCGCGTCGATTAAAGCCGTTACGCAGCATTCAGAATTATCGACCTTATAAAAGGAGCCAACAACATAACCATGCTAACGCCGCCTTTGTTTGCCATGCACTGAAATAGTTAAACTGTCAATGTGTGTAGGGATGGGTGGGAAAGGGGAGGCGCTATCGACTCATAATATACGAGCCAGAGCCACACTCAGAGTCATAGCCATTGCCAGAGCCAGAGTCATGCCTGCTCTGCGTTCCATGCTCCATGTGATGTTTTGGGTCTGGGTTTGGGTTTGAGTTCGAGCTTGGGTTTGGGTTTAGTGGCTACGTTGCCGCACGCACGCTCCCTGGCAGCTGGTGTGGCCCGCCTGGCAGCTTTCCACGGAGCAACTGAAAAGGCGAATCGGAAAATTCACAGGCAGAGAAGGCAACAACAATAATCACAGCAACAGCAGCAGCAGCAACAACTAATGTGCGCATGTGACAGGGTTGCCGACGAGTTTGAGGCTCGTCGCTCGCTGCTCGCTATTTGATTCGGCTCGGCACGAGGGCAACACTGGCTGACTAGTTGGCTGGCTGACTTGCCTGCTTTGCCTGACTGCTTGTTGGCCTGGTCCAAAGCAATTCAGTACGAACTCTGCACTTCGCACAAGAAGACAACACAGCGACACCGACAACGACAACTACGACGACTACAGCGCGGCCAACGACAAAAAATACGTAAAATTCTGATAAAGCGCCAAAGCCAAAGCGAATCACTTCAATTTCATTTACGCGCCTAGTGCGAAATTTCATAGAACATTTTTGATATCGAGCGTTGTTCGGTTAGTTGTGCATTCAAAATGTGGAACTGTTACTACCAACTGCAGCAGCAGAGGCCGCACTAGAGGGACCTGCTGCACCTGCTGCCCCAATCAGCTAATCTGCCAACAACAACAACACCGTTAACAACTGGAGAAGCAGCTACAAAATAAAAGGCGCCAAAAATCAAAAGAATTATTATAGCCAAGGAATTCCCCCAATTACCTGCAATGAAAACAATGAAAATGTGGACTGAAGCGAGCAACGTGAGTAACCTGATCCTTAGTCAATGATCACACACACACACACACACACACACACACACTCATGCACGCATACACACAGCAACCCTGGAAGGAGTAGCTTTTGCCTCACTGATGATAATGATGCGATAGTTTAGTTCTTTTGTTTTGATTATTGAGCTTCAGCAGCGTTTACGCTTTGTCTGCGCTTCTTCGTTGGTGTGCGTTTACCGGTCGAGGCAATTGAAAAGCCATTTGGGGAATGCCAATGGGCACAGCTGCTCGGCCAGGGTGATGGAGGAGGGGAGAGGGCAACGTGGAAGAGGAAAAGACGTTGGCACGCATCACGTAGCCACTCAGCAGGCAGACACGCATAGCATGCGTCGCTGCTGACGTCGCTGTTGCCGTCGCAGTCAACATCACTATCAATTCGCATGCTCATTCCTCCATTCGTTCGCCATTCACCATTCACCCATGCTTCTTCATTCCCATGTCGAGGCACAATCGAAGCAATGTAAACAAAAGCCAACGGCAAATATTTTTTTCTTTTCTTTCAACTTGTTTTTGCTTGTTCTTCTCAGCAATTAAATGAAAGTTTTCGATGAGGTGCGACCGTGGAATGTTCAGGGGCTGTGCGGGGCCAGCGAGCCAGCGCCAACTGGGGGTGGCACCGCATTGCCGAAGCCGGCGAGCAAAACAAAAACTGCAAAAATGTCATA